AATACATAGACTTCTGTAAAGACTTTGATTCTGTGGTACACGACAAACTACTACTAACACTAAAACCTTATGGTATCTCTGGACACCTGCATAACTGGATAGAAGCATTCCTGTCAAACAGACAGCAAATGGTCAAAATTGGGAGCATCCTATCAAATTCTGTACCTGTCAACAGTGATGTCCCTCAAGGCAGTATTCTAGGACCAACTCTCTTCATACTCTACATAAATGACCTCTGTGATCATATTAAGAGCAACTGCATTCTCTTTGCTGCTGATGTAAAGCTATTCAACACCACAGAAAATACTGCTACCCTTCAAAAAGACCTCGACTATGTATCAGAATGGTCAAACAAATGGCAACTTCAAAACTCAACAAATAAATGCTCTGTCTTACATATTGGCAAAAACAATCAGAAAATAAAATACAAGCTGAATAGTCAAGACCTTGTTGATGACCCAAACTCTGTCAAGGACCTTGGAGTACTCATCTCTGATGATCTAAGTGCTAGAGCCCACTGAAACTAACTACATAGCCAAAAAGGCATTAAAAGTTGTTAACCTAATCCTACATAGCTTTTTCTCTGGTAATATCACACTATTAACTAGATCATATAAACTAGATCATATAAAACATTTGTTAGACCAATACTTGAATACAGCTCATCAGTCTGGAATCTACATTACGTATCTGATATTAACACAGTTGAGAAAGTCCAGAAATATTTATCAAGAAGAGTTCTCCACTCCTTTATTTGTTGCAGAATACCTTATGCCACCAGACTAGAAATTCTAGGCCTAGAAAACCTAGAACTACACCACCTTCGGTCCGATCTAAGTATAGTACATAAAATCATACATTGCAATGTCCTACCAATGAATACTTCAGCTTCAACCATAACAACACTAGATCAAACAATAGATACAACTCAAGGTTAATCGCACCAAACTTGATTGCAGGAAATACGACTTCAGCAACAGAGTGGTCAATGCCTGGAATACTCTACCTGACTCTGTGGTTTCTTCCCCAAACCCCAAAAACTTTAACCTTAGACTGTCTACTATTGACCTCACTAGCATGCCTACCATCCCTGTCCTATTGTTTCTTTTTATTTTTCTTATATGTATCCATTTCCTATATTCATGACTATGTTTATATTTATACCTATTATTTTGTAAGCGATTGACAAATCAAAAATAAATAAAAATAAATAAATAAAATTTATTTATTTGAGATCTCAGGATACCGTCTCCAGCTCGGGGAGGAGGGGGTGACATTTCTCTGCAGATCATCAGTGATCCCCAGCCCATTGGTTGGCATTATTTTATTGTTTAATACATACACACAATGTATGGACTTCAACAACCACTATGAAGGACAAACAGTCAGAAGACTGTCAGAACGAATCCATGAACACCAACTAGCAGTCAGAAGACATGTTGAAAATTCTTTAATTTCACAACATATAGACAGATTTAACCAGTTTCATACACTAGGCCAAGTCCAAAAACACCAGGGAATTTCTAGAAGCCCGACATTCTGGCAAATTAGCTATCAATAGACACATAGACATTAACATCTCTAGACTACTCTCTGCAAAAGAGACAGTCAACCAGCCAAAAAAGGAACAAAAAGACCCAAGCATGTCTCAGACCCAGCAATCAGATCAGCATAGATTAATTCCAAGGTTATCATCAGAACAACAATCAAGTAAACAATACCCCAATCAAGAAACTGTCAAAGAGCCAAGAGTAAACAACCCAACTAAAGAATCTCTAAAATCACCCCCACCAATAGTGACAGGGCAAGCCACCTGAATATAAACTGACAGCAAACCGCACTCCTTACTAGCATTGATGTTACCTGGTTTGGGTTTGTAAGAAACAAGCAAGCTCAGACATCACAAAGGATCCCTCATACCTAATATTCTCTTCTCCTATTTTCCCCACAAACACAACCCTGTGTGGTGGGTTGAGCTGAAAAAGAGTGACAGGCCCAAAGTCATTCACCCAACCTTCAAGGTCATCTGGTTTCTAGCCTGGTACCTTAACTACTAACTAGACCAAGCTGATTTCCTGATGATCTACTTATTGACAAAATTTAACTCCACTTAATTTTTTTTTAAGAATGGGCAAGGCTTAATTAACTGCTAAATTAGCCTAATAGGAAGGTAGCTTGTTACCTACCAGAGGAATAGAAGCACATGTTTGTTGCAGCATGCGTCATGTGGCACACACACACCAAAAAAATTCCATAGACCTCACACATTTTTTATTCTAGAAAATTAAGAGAACTGTGTCATTGAAACAGTTTGGTCAAAGAAAGTGATATATTAGTGGTATAAAAAGTTATTTCACAACAGCCTACTGGATTTCTTACATTAAAACAACATATCGAATGTGCAGTCAGAATCCCAAAATTATATAAAACAGCCTTTAAATGAACAAAACAGAACAATTAAGAACTGCATATTGTATATGGATCTGATTGGAATAAATTGTGTTACAGAAATTTGCTGTGACTTTTATTTTATTGTTTAATACAAGTTTTATTGTTAGCTCCAGTTGGTGCAAAATGCAGCGGCCCACATGATTTTGTGCAGACCCCGGTGTGCACATCTTACACCTCTCCTATGGGAGCTTCATTGGTCGCCAATTGGCTTCCGGGTGCAATTCAAGGTGCTAGTTGTCACTTTTAAAGCCCTTCATGGCTTGGGACCAGGTTATCTGAGGGACTGTTTCTTCCCTGTCACATCTATCCATTAGACCGGGGAGGCAAGGAATGCTGCGGGTCCCATCCCTGAGGGAGGTACACCTTGTTGGACCCAGAAGAAGGGCCTTCTCCATGGTGGCTCCTTCTGTGGAATATCATTCCCCCGGGGCAGTGGTGGGATTCAAAAATTTTTACTACCTGTTAAAATTAAAAAAAAAAATTTTTTTAAATTTTTTACTACCGAATCTGGGTGTGGCTTGGTGGGCATGGCAAGGGAAGGATACAGTAAAATCTCCAGTCAGAGGTAGTATTTGCCGGTTCTCTGAATTGCTCAAAATTTCCGCTACCGGTTCCCCAGAACTGGTCAGAACCTGCAGAATACCACCTCTGCCTCAGAGATTAGAATGGCCCCCACTCTAGAAGTCTTCCGGAAGGCACTGAAGACCTGGTTCTGCCAGTGGGCCTAGGGAACCCAGAGTGGGATGGAGCCCATCAAATAGCTCGTGTGATCTGCTGTCGTCAGGTGGGAGTTGGGGGGTGATTTTTTATTTTTTTCCCCAGATTTTGTTCTATTATACTTTATTAATTTATTTGATTCCTTTTATTAGTTTTATTGGTTTTTTTAAAATATAGTTTTACATTCTGTAAGCTGCCTCGAGTTGCCATGCATAAATAGGTGGCAATATAAATTCAATAAATTCAATAAATAAATAAATGTTGTTCTGTTCTTTATATCTGATATAGTCCAATGGTTAATAAGATACTTTTATTATGACCAAGGACCAGCTATGGACTGCTATGGACTATTTAATAATGTGACGGTCATGTTATTTCTTGCAATATTGACATGGTTCTGGGTGAAACCCAAGAGTCTTCATACCACAAGATTCTTCTGTAACAAATACATCATTGCAATTATGCCCTTGATTTGTATGCATTAGGATTTCACTTGTTACAAAATGTCTCCTGCCTTTCAAGTTTTATTTATTTTTTTCTTTCAGTCTTTAAACCATCTTATTATTTAGATTGCTTATATAAGTAGTCCTCAATTTACAACCACAACTGAACCCAAAATTTACATTAAGTGAAAATATTGTTAAGTGAATTTTCCCATTTTATGACTTGACTTGCCACATTTGTTAAGTGAATTACTGCAGTTGTTAAATCAGTAACACGGTTGTTAAGTGGATCTGGGTTCTCTTCTTTGCTTGTCAGTAGATGACTCAGAAATGACTCCTGAAACACTGCAACTTAAGTCAGTTGCTAAGCATCTGAATGTAAATCACATGAACGTTGGAATGCTGCAAGTCATAAGTGTGAAAAATGATCATAAGTCACTATTTTCAGTGCCGTTGTAACTCCGAACAGCCACTAAATAAACTGTTATAAGTCAAGAACTACCTGTACTTACTGGCAAAACTCTCTGCAATTGCTCTCTGCAATGTAATTCCATCAACACTTGTCAATTATTACAAAGTCTGCATTACTATTACTGTTAATCTTTTCATCACTCCTAATCACCCATCCTGCCCCACTTGTGACTGTATGACAGCAACTTTGTCGCTTGTATCCGTACCATCTACATTGACTGTATCCTAGTATGATTTGATTGCTTATTTGTACCCTATGACTATCATTAAGTGTTGTACCTGATGATTCTTAACGAATGTATCTTTTCTTTTATGTACACTGAGAGTATTTGCACCAAGACAAATCCCTTGTGTGTCAGATCACACTTAGCCAATAAAGAATTCTATTCTATGTATACTGACTATTGTTAAGGTACTTTATAATACTCTCTGCTCCTTTAGCAGCTTTCCAGATTTATTTGAAGTGTCCCCACAACTTCGGATGGGATTTATAATTATTGCCAATAACCCAATTTCTCTGGTTGCTTCGCATTCCCTGGCAACCTCTGTGGTCCTATTCCCAAATTGATCCACAGGTGAATATTCTAATATGCGTATTGGCCAATCTCTCGTCCACATCCTTATTCCCATTTGCTACCGGACCTATCCATCCGCCAATTCTTCTCATCCATTGGCTGCTTCTCAGCTGGTCGCGTTCATTCTTCCGCCACCGCCGCTGTCTTCGGCCCCCCTTCTTCCTCCCTCGCGCCTCCCCGTAAGCCCCGCCCTCCTCCTGCCATCGGGCTAGACCCGTCCGCCAGTGGTGTTCCCGTCCGGATGATTGGCAGGCTTCGAGGTCATCTCCGCGCGGTGGTACGATCGGTCCACGCGCTGACGCGGGAACCCGGAGCCGTCGCCATTGGCCGCGTTCGTCGCGGGGCGTGTTACCTGGCGATGTGGCGCGCGACGCGGAGGTTGGCGATGGCAACGGCGGCGGCGGCGCCGTCGTCTCCCCTGGCGGGCGGGGGGAGGGCAGCGCCGCTGCATTTATCATCGCTGCTGGGCGGCTGTTTATGTCAGTCGAGCCGCCGCGCACGGAGGTGGATCTCTCCTGCCTCTCTCGTGGACCCGAAGGTGAACGGAGCGCGGTAAGGATCGAGTCTGGGGATCAGAGGGGGTTTGAGGTTTTTAGTGCCCGGGGGTCTGTCGGCTTTCGGGATAAATAGCGCAAAACCGTTTGCGAAGGCAAGCGGCCGCCCCGTTAACCTTGTATCCTGGAACCCGAGGTAGGCTGCTTCTAACGAGGGAAGGTGGCTCTGGAAGTCCCGCTGCTCTCTCAGCAGCTGAAAAGATCCCTCTCCAGATCCGCTTTTCGGGGCGCGATTCCCTTTGGTAATTCAAAAACACGGGGTCTTTCTTCCAGTTAACGTTTTTATTGAACTATAATAAAATGTTATAAAATACAAAATGCAAAATAAACGGAAAAGCAGTAGGGATGGTGGGGGGGGGGAGAGATGAGGAAAGAAAAGGGGGAGAAGAAGAAAAAAGCATTGACTTCCGACTCTATTACAATAAAATAAGGCATTAACATCAAATCACAACTTTTTGCTTTTCCATAATAAAATGGGTCTTTGACTCAGGTGGCTGGGGAAGATGGGAGATCTGGCAGACTGGTGTAGTGTTTGATTAAATGAGCCCGAATAAAAGGCAATAGAGCTAAACTGTTCCTGCCTGCCTTTTTATCCCTCCCCCCAAGAAAAAATAAATAGGGACAAAAGTTGAGAGCTTTTCTTGGGAAAATGTCTATGGAGGATGTCAATCATCCATATCATGGTTGTCCAAAAGACAAAACTGGACTTTCTTGGGTGTTTTTTCTCCTTTGGAAAGGTTGCACTTCTCATCCCAAGAAGTTCCTTTAGTTCAAAACTGAATTAAGATTCTTGGATGAGAAGAAACTTTCATTTAAGTAGTTGTTCATTGCACTATGGGCTTACTTTTCTGCAAGGAGCACAGGTGGGTACATGAAAATTTATTTTAGCTCTCTTTTTTATTCTCGCCGTAGTGTGTTTTTTCTTTAAAGAAATGTACTTTCTTTCCAGGTGCTGAAAAGCTTATCAAGGAAGCAGTTGTCAAAGCAGGGGCTTTAAGAAAAAATGTCATGGAGAGAAAATATTAGAATCGATCCTGAACAAGTCTAGGATAGGGACACAGTGGTTTAATATCTGCTGGAGCAAACCATATATTCTTGAAAAGTTCTAATTCTAAAATAGAGGAATATTCGTAGAAAGCTTTGTTTGTTTAGCAACCCATAACGAGATACAGAATTGCCCTAGATGTTGAGGCATTCTGAAACCAGTTTATCCCGGTTTTTTTAAATTGCATGTTTTATGCACATCTGAATTCAGTCGATTCTCATGTGGAACATGAATAATCAATTGGTAGTCTAATTAAAAATGTTTGTGTTGGGATCACCTAATCACAAATTCCAGGTGTTAGGTTTTGCTTTGGTCTGAATTACTGTTTTTATTCAGTATTTTGTTTAGGGAGATCAACAACACAATCATGCCTGAGATAAATACAGATGAATTGGATGAGCAACAAGTGCAGTTGCTGGCAGAGATGTGCATCCTAATAGATGAAAATGACAACTGGATCGGTTCAGAAACAAAGAAAAACTGCCATCTGAATGAAAATATTGACAAAGGTAAAAGTGTGATTTAAAGTATATCATGTGCAAGGAGGACCTTGCTTAGCTCAACTGAGTCAAAGACTCACTATATGATACAGAGCCACATTTCTTGCCTCCAGGTAACTGACCTTTATCTATAGATCAAGATAAAGTCAAAAGGAAAAAATGCTGTTGATCAAGTATGTTTGGATTAATGCTGTTCTTCAGACATTACAAACATCTTGATATAGAGAAGCTGAAAAGCTTCTCACAATTACTCTTATTTCCAACAGCCTGTCATTCCAATTAGATTTGGTATTACTTGTCATTCCAATTAGTATTGGTATTAAGTTTTACCAGCCACATATGAATTCAGAAGTTCTTTCTAACCATTGGTAGGAAGCATGAATTCATTTATCATTGCTTGCAGGCTCAAGTAAAAAGAGGGCACACATTTTACTTTGCCTTGGCAAATGTGGGCTTGGCAAATTCATGACGTCTAGTGGAAGAGAAATAATAAAATTATCTTAGTAATTTAGGTCAGGAAAAATAAAAAATGTGGAGTGACTTGCTATTAAATAGACACAAGGAACAGATTATTTAAATAGAAGGATAATGAATTAACCAAGAGGGAATTGGCTTCTAAGTGATGTAAAAGGTGCTTTGTTACAGATTCTGTAAGCGAGAAGTGTTGGAACTAATTTATCAATGGCTTATGACATTTTTCCCAAAGAGAAAGCACATAAGCCATTGATTTCAGTAGAAATAGAAGACTTATTTTGTGCCAATACATTTTAAGCTAAAGTTCAACTCCTTAAGGCTATAAAAGTATCTAGGTTTATTTCTTAGATAAAAGCTTTCAAAAGAAAGAAATTATGTAAGATTTTTCTTAATATCTTATTTGAAAAGAACTAGCATAATTGTATTTCAAATAAGAATTTACTTAGACTTTGTAGAAAGAATTGCTTCTTTATGAGACCTTACAGGTAGTCCTTGACTTAACAACTATTCGTTCAGTATCCACTTGAAGAGCCTTATCCATGCCCAAACTTATGGCCATTGCAGCACCTGCACCATCAAATGAGTAAAATTTGGGCAGTCAGTATCCATTGCAAAGGTGCTGTAACTTCCTCCATCATCTCCCCTCCCCTTCTCTTGGTCCCTTGGGCTCTGTCACTCCAGCTAACCTTGGTTGCTGTCTTCTTGTTTCCAATGCTGATGAGGTGTGCCCAGTTTTGTTGCTGGATCATGGTAGATTGTTTGTCCTGCAAGAAAAGGAAAATAAAAACAAGGAGGCTAGAATGTGCCACAATGCCTCTTTGCACTGTATTTCTGGGCTTTATGGGACTAGCGTTATGCTGTGAAATAGAAGGAGGAAAGGCTGCCATGGCCCAGCAGCTGAACTGGGCATATTCATTAGCAGCAGGAGCAAGAAGGCAGCAAAGGTCATCTGGAGCAGCAGAGCAACATGGGCAAAGTGAATCTTGGTGTGCAGGCTAGTAAGGGCAATTATGCTAGGGCATCTGCGGCTTTAGAAAGAGTAACCTCAGAAAAAATTGAGCTGAGGTGGGTACTCAGTAATGACCAGTAAAAATCACTTAACAGTGGCAATAGGGATGGCAGTCACCCAAGCAATCATGCAATGTCTAGCTTCACAGTTGCATTGTTAGCAACCAAAATTCCAGTCCCAATTATGATTGTGAGTTGAGCATTACCTATAGTCTTAAAATTAGCACAAAGATACATTAAATTAATTATCTTTGCAGTATAATATTTATACAGCCTTTGCCTATCTTTTTGTACTAGGATTATTGCATCGTGCTTTCAGCGTTTTCTTGTTCAACACGGAGAATAAGCTACTGTTGCAACAGAGATCAGATGCCAAAATCACTTTTCCAGGTATAATAATGAATCGTTTCAACAGTGTGGCAGAGGCCCATCTGTAGTTTGAATATATTTTGAACTCTTGTCATTTATTAAATATGAAAGGATTAGCTTTTCTGGTAAAGCAAAGCCTTGAAAGGTTGTTTATTTGTCAACAAGCAAATAATTGGGAAAATAATGTGAGGGTGAAGCTGAAAAAGATTTTGAGATTAGACAAAATACTGCAAGTGTCTTCAACATGAGACTGAAAAACAGGCAGCAAAAAGTTCACAAATGAGGGCAAATATGTGTCCTATATATATATTCTTGTGAAAAAGAAGTTCCCTGAGGATGGGATCTAGCATGAATCCAAAAGTTTGGCAGACAAAACCTTTGGTCCCTGGTTATCGACATAGACTGGATCCTGCAGCAAAAAGTTCATTGTCACATTAAAGGTATGAGAGAATGGGGTGATCCTGGGCTTAAATCTGAAGATGTGACTGATTCCTAGATTCTTCAGTAATTGATTGTCATTAAAAGCTCAGTCAGTGAATATTTCAAAGCAGACCTTTGTATTATCTGAAAACTTTAAAGTGCAGCATTCAGATATTCTGCTGTCCAAAATGCTGTAGGACGTTATTAAAACTTTTCATTTCTTTTGGGAAGATTGTTTTACCAATACCTGTTGCAGTCATCCCCTAAGCACCCCCCTTGAGCTGGAAGAAAATAATGCCATTGGTATTAGAAGAGCAGCGCAGAGAAGACTGAAAGCCGAGTTAGGAATTCCACTGGATCAGGTAAACACTCCTCAGAGTGATGACTTCCTTGGGGAAAAGATGTTGCATAGCATTTAGTCACTTGGCAATCCCATTTGTCTAATTACAAATCAGACCTACAATATTTATTTGGAAACTCGTAACTGCCTTACTCCCAAAAGCCAAGAGTAGGGAACAATTAATGCAACATCTTTGTCATATTTGTACTGTCTTCCTTTTCAAACTGGTGTGCATAGTTTGCTCTAGTGTTTTATCTCAACATTTGTGTTTTGGAACAAGATGAAGAATATATCTTCCAAGCTATACCAAAGTTCCAGTTTTCAAATTCATCCTAAACTACACAGTCACAATATGCATGTTACCAGATATAAAAAAGAAAAGAAAATTGAGTAAAATTGTCCAATCACAAGTTAGAACGCCATACAGAGTATCTTTGTTCAGGTTTGCATTTCTTTGTGGCTAAACAATTTTGGACCTAGGAATTTTTTTCAACAGGCATTTTTTCCAAAGCAAATTCTAGAAGACGTTATCTTTTATGAAAGTACTGCCAAAATGGCACAAGGATAGAATAGCTACTCAATTTTGCATATTCTGTTTTTGTCCTGCCAATGTGCACAAAATATCTGTAATGCTTGGCCAAGTACAAGGCCAGGCTGGGACCCCATCAGTCCTCATTTCTTTCTTACTAATAGGTATTAGACAGTAAAGTTTAGCTGTATCTTCATATCTAGAATGCTGAGTGATCAAGAAATTCTAAAAATAGTATTAACAGGATGTATTTTCATTATTAAGAACATTTTCAGAACATATTTTGAATGATGTTTCAGGCACAATTGCTTCATCACTGTACAATGTTCAGAGTAATACCACAATTCTCAGACATCATTTAGAGAAGATAGGTAGGGAATATTACAAAAATGATTTCTTTGGTTCTTGCCAGGGCCATGGTTACATAAAGTATGCTATGAAATGCCTGAAACCAGGAAAGTGCTATTGCTTTTCCTGCAGTAGAAGCAGTAACTTGCTTTTATATCTATATTGAGATGTTCTGGGAATGGAAAAGAGAATCTGTTTTAAAAAGTAGATATGGAAACTTTTGAAACATGTTTGATTGTAGGTCACTCCAGAAGAAATCTTCTACCTAACCCGAATTCACTACAAAGCCCAATCCAATGGAACGTGGGGAGAACATGAAATTGATTATATCCTTTTTGTGCAGAAGAATGTACAGCTGGATCCAGATTTCAATGAAATTAAAAGCTACTGTTATGTGACTCAAGAAGAATTGAGAGAACTGCTGGAAAAGGCTTCTAGAAATGAAATTAAGATTACTCCATGGTTCAGACTAATTGCAGAGACTTTTCTCTTTAAGTGGTGGGACAACTTGAATAATTTGAAGAGATATGTTGATCATGATAAGATACACAGAATGTAACAAATAGGGCTGTCCTAAAATATCATATCATAAATTTTTCATACTGAAATTATTTGTTGAAGCAATGTATTTGCAAATTGATTGTAACAGGAAATTAGGAATAGGCCCCTTTAAACGGAAGTTAGATATTTATCTCACATTGCATAGCTGGCTTGCTCCTGGAATATTTCTTTTCATTTCATGGTATTAAGTAGTGATTAACGAGTTTGCACTCCGTGGAAACCACTGTAAGTCTGAATAGTCGCCAAGCCACAATGCCATGGGAGTAATTAGGGCTTGATTACAATCTCTCCCACAATATCTGTTTGCACAATATGGAACACATCAGCTTACCAGTTTTAAGTGTAGGTAAAATGAAGAGGTGAATCTGAACTAGTCAACCCTAAAAGCTTTTGTATTTTATACCAGTCTTACTGAAACATGCAGCACAGCAGTTTTTCTATACTGTCCCTCTTCAAGTTACCTACTTATCTTTCAGGTAATTAGCACTTCCATATTTATACTTTACACTGTTTCGTGTTTGACTTGCTTTTGAAGAACCTATTCACTTGGAAGCTATTCTAGCACATAAGATATACTTTCCCCATTTGAAAAGATACCCAACATTTCAAACTAGAAATGTTAAAATTTCTGTATTCGTAGATTCTAAATGTCTTTCCTGTAGGAATTAAGCTATGATCTAAAAGAAAGGAAATCTTAAATGTAAATAACCTTTTTCACAGAATCTTGAAAAATACCTGAGCTATTAACAACCAATAAAGGAAAGATTGTTAGACATATCCTATGGTCTAGGCAAATGGTGTTGGTATATTTTTCGTAAATACAATTATGAACCATGAAAATTAAAGTTTAAAGATTGAACCTGATTGGCGTGTTGAAATTTCCTATTAATTCTTATTGATGGAGAATCAAAAATAAATGCTTTTGTGTTCTTTATAATGGCTTGTTAAATGTAATTGTGGGCTAGAGGATTAGGTAATGTTTCTATTTGTACTATTTGAAGGACAATCTAAACATTTTAAATGGTTGAATAGCACTTCCAGATCCTCCAAGGAAAAGAGGAATAACTACACATTGGACATATTTCAAATGGCTTGTCATGGCCTCAGTAATCTACTTTGGGAGCCCTAGGTGAACTGCTTTTAAGGTGTCAGCTTTGTAATATAGAATTATCCAAAGTTGACTAATACATCACTTTTACTTTTTGAAATTTCCAGTTGTATGGAATTGATTCTTACAAGCTTTTTCGATCACTTATTACTAGAAGGGATATGCATAGTAAAAATTTTCCTTTTCCCCTGCCTTGAAAATTTAATGGTTAAAATGCAGCAGCCCTGATCTTCCCAGCTGCTTCCATTCTCTTCCTCCCACCCTCAACTGTTTCAGCTGTGTCTTTTTCACTAGCCTCAGGAACAAACTCCTATCTAGGCTATCCAATAACAGCCTATTCCTACCACCACGCTTCGCAATGTCTTTGTCATGCTGCTGCGAATATACACATACCATATATCATGGCCAGTCCCTTTATTTGGGGCTCTTAACACCCTTTCAAACGTTTCTACTTTAGAACAGCTGTATTTTATTTCACAACCCAGTTTAAAATGTATTCTCCTTCCATAGCAAACGAACATTTCAAAATAAATTATCCCAAGCAGCTGTTCTGTGCACTTTGCTTAAGTTGTAATGTTTATCCCAGTTAGGCCATAACCCACTGAAGGTCTGACATGGTTTGAATAGGCTCTTTGCCAAAGTATACCCCTGAACCAGAATTATTGCTCTATAGTTGCAGTTTAAGGAAACCATTTTCCTCAGTCTCATGATTGAATAACCCAAGATAGCAGTTTTGAAAACCAGACCTGTTAACAGTTAAGAGAACTATTTTGAAGAAAAACAAAAAGGCAAATTTCAGTGCTTGCAATGTATTTATTTATGTCAACACAGGAATCATTTTATTTTTCTTGCTCTATCTTCGGTTGTTGGAACCAGCTTTTCTCTTCCCAGATAACAGGTGTTTAGGCTTCATATCAAAGACAACTCTATCCGCCTCGCCTTTCTTGCCCATCTGATTCATTACCTTCTGAGCATTTTTCATCATAATTTTTGCTTTTTTCACCATCTATAAAAAATAAAATGCAAGTGAAAAGGTGCACATACAACACATGAATTTAAATATTACATGGCCACATATTGCTCTGTGTTGAACTTCAGTTTCCAAGGGGAAAAAAAAAACTATTCAAAGCTGAAAATGCACATTATAGATAGCCTGGCTGATAGTGAATATATATTTTTATATCTAGAGGGTGGGGGGGGAACCAATGACCTCAAAATAGAAATTGGATATTTCAATTATAAATATCCATTAAAATGTTAGAAAACTGACTGCATAAATTGTCATATAGTAACAAATTCTAATTGCTAATTACGATAGCACAAAATATGCACTTGGATAATCTGAATAAACTGATAATTTTAATAATACTGAGATATACCTTAGCATCACGAAGACCAGAGACATCACGAGGGGGACGAGAGCCGTTGTGAGTTACTGGCATTGAGGCAGCTTCTTCAGAATCTTCTCGCTTACGTTTACGGGTAACACTGCGTGACCTTCTTCCCTGGATTAAATAATGTGCTTGAATATTTACAGATAACCAAATTGGAAACCTTAAGTTAATCAGATGCTCTGCTGGAACCTAGTTTCCATTAACAGATTCTTGTATCAGCCAAGAACCCACAAAAAGTAAACTCTTCATAAACATTGTTTAATTACAGGTGTAGCAATGATACAGAAGGGGGGAATAAGCAAAAAAAATTTTTTTTACCTCAATGTTGCCTGGTAGAGCTACTCCCAGGTTTGTCATCTCTTGTTCAACGGTTTTTTGTTGAATCTAAAGCCAGAAGTAAAAAAAAAATATCAGAGATTAGTAGTTCCTCAGTTTCTTCTCATGAACTTTCTCAGGTCTACTACTAGACTACAAGTTGAAAGCCCTCCAGCCGAAAGGACAGCATTTCTGTCTAGTAGCCCAAGATTAACAAACCACTATCCCACCCACATACATAAAAATACCTTCACTCCATGAACCAGCTCCACCGCAAGCAACCTCTTGGCTGCTCTGCTTTTATAGCTGCTCATGATTGGGCAGGTGGGCTGGCTAAGGTAAGGTCTTAAAGGGGAAGGATGCTAATTTTCAGGCATTCTGATCATGCTCAATGGTTCCTACAATTAGAATCTTCTAGATAAGGAATCTAGGGAACAGCCCTAAACTTCCCAAAAACAAAGGAGCCGAACTCAAAGCAGCACAGCTGTTTGAGATGAGAAATCAACAGCTCCAATGCTCTTGCTATTCTACATCTGGAAAAGGCTGCCTCAGTGGATTTGAAATTTTACCAATTAAAAGTGGGTATACAGGCAGCAGGCAAAGGTGGCCAAATGACTATTCTTTGAACTGTAGCATAGAAATCACACAATGCATCCCACCACAACAAATTTTGCAAGCTGAGACTAAGTTTGGTATAGTGGTTAAGGCACCAGGCTAGAAAGCAAGAGACCACCATGACTAGATTCTCAGTCATCCAAGTCATGTTTCTCTCAAAGGTGGCTTTTTCAAAAGGCAACTGGATAAAGGCAACTTGTTTCCTTGAAAACCTTTTGGACAACATTTTGTCTGAAATGGTTTAGGGTTTCCTGCCTGAGCAAGGGGTTAGACTAGAAGACCTCCAAGGCCCGTTCCACCTCTTCTATACTTCTTCTATACTGAAAGTTCTTCAGTGCTTTTTGTGTACTTTTCAGTTCTTTTTGTGCACATTTCCAGGACGAAAACCAAGAAAACATAGTTTTTCCTAAAGGTTAAACTGGTTAGAGATTTCATAAAGAAGATTACCATATGTGCAAGCCTGCAAATTAGGGAAATAAATGTAAACCACAATTCTTCTTCACTTCAAACATGGTTATATCGTCTACATTTGAATTCTTGGCAAAATTAATAATTCTGCTACTTAAAAAAAGACAGCATATGTAGGAGGGTGTTCTATTTATTCATTCACTTGTATCCCAGAAAGATGGAACACACTTTCCTCCTATTTTTCTCACAACAACAACCCCTTTGAGGTGAGGTAAGCTGACAGGAAGTGACTGGCCCAAGGTCACCCAGCTGCCTTTCCTAGCTAAAGTAGGGTTTGAACTCATGGCTTCTAGTCACAAAGATACTTTTCCTGAAGGCAACTGGGCTTTCTTGGGTTTTTTTTTTTCTTAAAAATGTTTTACTTCTCATCCAAGAAGCTTCTTCAGTTCTTCCATGAGTTTAAGAACCCTGATTTAGCCAGGAAAGCCAACTAGCTGACTTTGGGCCAGTCATTCTTCTCAGCCCAACTCACAGGTTATAGTGAGGAAAATAGGAGGAAGAAGGTAGGTTGGATTTGTCTGCTGCCTTTAGTTATTTGTAAAAATAAAGATAAAAATGAATGAATAAACATGGTTTGTAACATATTCAATTCTTTGCAAAATTGAGGATTTTATTAATAAAAAAGACAGCAAACGTAGGAGGTTGTTCTACATTTGCTGTATTTTTAATTAACAAGATTCTTAACTTTGCAAAGAACTCAAAAAATAGGATATAACTATGTTTGAAATGCAGAAGAATTTGGGTAACTGTGTTTGAGATGGAGAAGAATTGTGGTTTATGTTCACCTTTCCTAATTTATAGGCCTCCAGATATTGTGGTCTTCCTATTGAAATCTCTACTCAGCTTAATCTTTAGGGGAAACTGGATGAAGTAATGATGTATTTAAAACACTCCCTATCTAACTGCTTAGACAGAAGATTGTGGTCACTTAAATGCACTGGAATTATATGGACTCAACTTACAACCACAACTGAGTACAAAAAATTCCTGTTGCTAGGCAAGACAGTAGCTATGTAAATTTTATGTGAATCACTACACTATGGCCTTCCTTGCCACAGTAAAGTGAATCACTGCAATTAATTGAATCAGTCATTAAGCAAATCTGGCTTACCACGTTGACTTTGCTGGCTGGAAGCTGGCTGGGAAAAGTCAAAAATGATGATTACATGATCTACAGGACAGTGCAACTGTCATAAATACAGATAGCCCTCAACTTTCAATAGTTCATTTAGGGACCATTCAAAGTTACAACTGAAGTCATTTTAAAAAGTGACTTATGATCTTTTTCCACACTTAACGACCGTTTGTGGTATCCCTGTGGTCATGTGATCAAAATTCAGCCGCTTGGCAACTGGTTCATCTTTACGACCCCTGCAGTGTCCTCGGGTCATGATCACCTTTTTGCAATCTTCAGACCAGCAAAGTCAAATGGGGAAGCCAGATTCACCCAACAACTGGGGAAAAGATAGGTCATAAAATGGGACAAGCTCATTTAACAGCTATCTCGCATAGCAACAGAAATCTTGGGCTCAATTGTGGTCGTGAGTTGGAGACTACTATCTCTATATGCCAGTTGACTATGGGAAGGTTGTAATGGCTGCAAGTGTGAAAAGAGGTCATAAGTCATTTTTTCACTACTGTCGAAGGCTCTCCAGAATCTGCTGAAGATTACTTGCCTTCAGGGAGTGTTTTCATTCTGCTGACATGTTCCTGCAGCCTACTGAAGGCTGCTCTGGGTCAAAAGAAACCTCTATCCTTCAAGCAGCTTTGGAGAATGCCTCTGCGCCTGTGCAAAGTGCCCATTTGGTGCGCACATGCACACAAAGCCATGCCCACCAAGCCGGTGCCAACTTTATTTGAATACCACCACTGTTTACAGCCCTCTCTAAGTGGTTTACAGAATCTGCCTATTGCCCCAGCAATCTGGGTCCTCATGTTACCCACCTCAGAAGGATGGAAGGTTG